TGAGGAAGAAAAATAATATATATATATATATATATATATATATATATATATTTTAAGTTATAAGGACTAGAAAAAAAAATTTAAATTTAAGAGAAAAAGAATTATATATTCCAATTTTGAAAAACTATACACATATTTAAGTCTTTTATGTTTCATAAAAATTGTTAAGTAATTTCTTAATATATTTTTATTTTTTATATTATTAGATTCTCTAATCATACTTATCTTTTTATTTTATCTTCAGATAAATAGTGAAAGATTTAATAGTCAAAAAAATTATTGTTTAAAAATGACAATCAAAATTCCCTTAAAAAAATTACGATCAAAATTAAACATTTTTTTTCTTCTTAAACGTCGAGAAAAATAGGTTGGAAAGAGTAAACGTTTTGTTAAAATTTCAAATCCGCAACTTTCAATGTTTGGCCGACGAAATGAAGGAGGGGACGATAATCAAAAAGTTTAATTTTTATGCTAGCTAGTATTAAAAAATACCCTATCAATCCATTAAAAGTCATCATTGATATATTTTAAAATAGTTATTACTATAAAATTTAATTAAATTATAATACATATTAGTTTGCGATTAAAAAATTCACTCATAGTTAATTTTGTGTTTAGTTTATATATTGTTACGGAATATAAATTATATAATTGTTTTATAAATGGAGCAATAATTTATAATTTTATGTGACTTGGTTAGTATTAAAAGAACGGGAAAATAAAAATTAGAAAGATAAAAGTAACATTATTAGTACTAATTTATTTTCATTTTCTTTACCTCTAATAATTTTAAATATGCTCATTCTAGAAAAATATATATAGGGGTTATACTTTCTTTTATTTTAGGGCAATTTTATTTTATTAAATATGTTTAAGTAAAAATAAATTCCTTCATAACTCCCAAGTAGCGCCTTGAATGTTCATACCTCTAAATTTGTAATATTAAAAATATTACATATATATTTAAAAATAAATATGTGTCATAATTATTTTTTATTTATATCAATTATTATAATTAAAAATAAAAATAAATTAGGTTAAATTAGGTCTAAATTTGACATTTGTTGAAAATATATGACCACAATTTAACCTATTTTTATCATAAAAGTTTAATCTAACCTACAAACTCATTTAAAGACATATATACTTTATAATAACATACACCGAGTTTTATAAAAACTCAAGTCTGATTTATTTATATGATTTAAACATATTTTTAATGTCTAGTATAAAATTTTAGGATAATGACCTATTTAAACACACACATATATTTTTTAATCAGTGTATATATAACAAGCTGAAAGAGAAAAGGTTAAATAAGTATGCCACAAATTTCATATTTTATCAATATATATATAAGATTTTAAAAAGTCAAGTATGTTGATATGAAGCTTATTTTTATATATCAAAATTTAAATGTTACATTCTAAAATATTATATTATCTATAGTACGTATTTGTATACTATGTAAAAGTGTAAAATATTAGTGGCGCAACTGCCCCACAATCTTTGAAGTAGATCCGTAATTGCTCGATGTTCTTGGAATGTCAATTATCGTATGAAAGCAACAAACATCGATTGCATTTTTTGATCAATTTCTGTTTATTTATGATTTGCGTTTGTTTCCTTTGTTTCTGTTCGAGTATGACTACATAGAAAGAAATATGAAAGGAGAGTGTCTCCAACGGTCTTTATCTAGGAGGAAAATCAACGAAGAAAAACTCATCCGGCACCCTCCTTTCCCTTTTCGCTATACAAAAAGTCTTATAAAATCTAACTTAAAAGAAAATTGTTTAAGACACTAACACACTAAAATAAAAATAGTAAACAATGTAAGTTCTAAGGAGTTGGTGGAAGGTAGTATGTGTTGAGATGTAAATAAAGTTTCATATTGTTAAAACAAAAGTTTATAAAAAAAAAATACATCCTTCATTTGGTTTGAGGTCAAAATAATAGCACTCAAATTTTTTACCATGTCCTTATTGCATAAAAGGACTAATCATCCAAACAGATATATTGGTGGAGACTTTTTGGGCAATGACCAACAACAAATTTAGAAGATAAGACTTAAACTCAAAGTAGATAATATCATATTAAAGTAAATGACATTATATTTGTAACATTCCAAACTTTTTGCTAATATAATAGTTTAATTATTATTTATTTTTATATTTATTGGGATTATTTTCTTATAATTGTTTTAATTAATTAAATGGGTTTTATAGAATATTTTAGAGGTTTTTAATAGTTACGAGTATTTTAATTAAATAATAAATATTTATGAAAATTATTTTGTATAATATTTATTAGAGAACTATGTATTCTTATGATATTTTATTATAATAAGTATTTGGAGAAAATTATGTATTTTATTGTAATTATTTATATATTTTATTTTAAATATAATTGTGTTGAAAGAAATAGATATATTTTATATATTATATATTTGTTAATTATTAAATATTGTATTTTATTATTAATAACTATGTTTAAGTTATTTTATAAAAGGGAGAAAGTGTGTTTAATATAATAATAATAATAATTATTATTATTATTATTTTTATTATTTTAAGAATGAAGTTATCAAAAGTTACCTTACATTTCATTCTCCTGACTTCTCCTTATATATTTTCTTTCTACGCTCTGAAGACCAAGGAGAACTAAGTGAAGGAGACGAATCAGATTATGCCCGTGCTTCATCTTCTGTTCATTTAGGTAAGGGGGGAGTGAGAAAACTCACTTGGAGGTGTGGGAATAACTGTTAGGTAGCAGGATTGTCCCCCAATCCCTTACTTAGGAATAGACATTTTATGAAAGTTTTCTATTTTGCTTTTTGATTGTTCTATTGCGTTCCTTGTTTGATTCTGAGTGTGAATATGGGTTCAATTTCGAGAATAGATAAGTTTTGATATGAATTAGACATTATAAGAAAAATGCTGATTTCTGACGGAAATTTCCGACAGAAACAGCTAAATTTCTGACAGATTTTTCTTTTTCCGACATTGGAAAAAGTGGTGTCTAAAAAAAAATCTGTCGAAATAATTTTTTTCGACGGAAATTTCCGATGGATTTTTCTGTCAGAAAATTCTGTCGAAAATTTCTGACAGAAATATCCATAGGAAAATTCCGTCAGAAATTTCCGATGGAAAAATCCGTCAAAAATTTCCATCAGAAATTTTTGACGGAATTTTCTGTCAGAAATTATAATTTTTTTTTTAATTTTAATAAATTTATTAATATAACAACCAAAATTTCTGACGGAAAAATCCGTCGGAAATTTCCATCAGAAATTATAATTTTTTTTTTAATTTTAATAAATTTATTAATGTAAGAACCCTCATATTGGTCTCTCAAGGGTTCTATTCCACAATATTTCACTGTTTAGCGTGTTTTATCCTTACTTGTGCAATTTTTGGGAAACTTCCACGGAGGTCACCCATCCCAGTACTACTTCAGGTCAAGCACGCTTAACTCTGAAGTTCTGATCAGTAAGCTACCGAAATGTATATGTATGTTGACATTTCAAAGAAGCAAAATTTTATGATGAGGGCAACATTAATGTGGACTATTATTGACTTCCCTGCATATGGCATGTTGTCTGGTTGGGGAACTCAAGGTAAATTGGCATGTCCACATTGCATGGAGCATTCTAAAGCCTTTACATTAGAGAATGGCGGTAAAAATTGTTGGTTTGACTCACACCGAAGGTTTTTACCCACCAATCATGCATTCAGGAAGAACAGAAAAGCGTTTATAAAAGGCAAGGTTGAAACTGATGCACCACCACCTACATTGACACCCAATCAAGTTTGGCAAAGAGTTAGGGATTTACCTTTAGTAACAGAAAATCCTAGCTTGCCTAGGTTACAAGGATACGGGGAGTCACATAATTGGAGGAAAAGAAGTATATTTTGGGATCTTCCTTATTGGAAAGATAATATTTTGAGACACAATCTTGATGTGATGCACATTGAGAAGAATTTCTTTGATAACATATTGAACACTGTTATGAATGTCAGTGGTAAAACGAAAGACAATGAGAAGGCACGGATGGACCTAGCTTTGTATTGTAGTCGACCTGACTTGGAAATGAAATTGCAACTGAATGGGAAAATGTTAAAGCCAAAAGCAAATTACACTTTACCTATGGAGGAATCAAAGATACTTTGTCGCTGGATAAAAGAACTCCGTGTTCCAGATGGTTATTCATCCAACTTGGCAAGATGTGCTGATGTCGAAAAGGGAAGGATGCATGGCATGAAAAGCCATGACTGCCATGTTTTCATGGAGTGTTTACTTCCTATTGCATTCAGTTCATTGCCAGTGCATGCTTTAAATCCACTAACTGAAATAAGTCATTTCTTCAAAGACTTGTGCTCTACCACATTGAAGGTTGAGGATTTGGATAGGATGGAACTAAACATTCCAATTATTCTTTGCAAATTGGAAAGAGTATTCCCCCCTGCATTCTTTGATTCAATGGAACATCTACCTATTCACCTTGCATATGAAGCACGACTTGGTGGTCCAGTTCAATATAGGTGGATGTATCCATTTGAAAGGTACTACAATTATCATACTATTGTGTATAACTAGTATTGTTCAATGTTTATGAACCCTAACCTATTCATATAATTTTATAGATTTATGGGAGATTCTAAGCGATCAGTGAAAAATAAGGCGAGGGTTGAAGGATCGATATGTGCATCTTACATACACCGCGAAACAACTCATTTTTGTTCTCATTATTTCCACAACTCCACGTTGTCATCGCAAAGTTGTAGAAATGAATTGGAAACTGAAAGTGATAGGTGTCCATCATCGTTGTCCATATTTAATCAACCAGCTCGTCATTCTGGGAAGCAAAAATCTCATTGGTTAAGCCAGCAACAATGGAAGTCAGCCCATGTTCATGTTTTGATCAATTGTACAGAAGTTAAACCATATCTTGAGTCAGTATTTTCCAACAATTGATTTTGTAGTATAGTAAATCAAACTTTCTTTTTGAACTGACCACCTCATTCATATTTTTTGATAGTTCATTCCTACAATTAGAACAAATAAGTGAATCAACAGCTCCTTCTCGCATACATGATGATTTCCCCAAGTGGTTTAAGGATCATGTACGTAGCACAAAATTTATTTTACTTTAACATTACTTATATAAAACATAACAAATACTTTGTTGAATATTGTAGGTTTACAATGAACCTATAAGCGTCAGAAACCAACACTTGAGAGAATTATCACTTGGTCCGTTCATTGAGGTTAAAGAATGGCACACTCTATATGTGAATGGCTATAAATTTCATAACCATGAATGGAGTCAAGGTAAAAAGACAATAAATAGTGGAGTTTATGTCAAAGGGCTTACTGAAGGAGGTGATGATGACTTCTATGGGGTCATCCAACACATATATGAACTAGAGTACAATAGTTCAAGTTCTCCCAAGAAAGTCATGTTATTTTATTGTGACTGGTATGATCCATCACGAAGAGGTACAAGAGTAGATCCCAAATATAATGTTGTCAATATTCGCATGGATAGAAGATATGTGGCATATGATCCATTTATTATTGCTCATAATGTAAGGCAAGTTTATTATGTCCCATATCCAACATCACGAATAGATAAACGCGGTTGGTGTGTGCCAATTAAAACAAAGCCTAGAGGTCGTATAGAATGTCATGTGGAGGACGATGTACCGTACCAAGTAGACCAAGTGTCTATTTCGTCAGAAATTTTTTTGTCAAAATTTCTGACGGATTTATTTTTTCGTCAAAAATTTCTGACAGAATTTTCTGTCGAAAAATTTATGTCGAAAATTTCCGATGGATTTATATTTTCGTCAAAAATTTCTGACGGAAAATTTTGTTAGTAATTTCCGACGAAAATATAAACTCGTCAGAAATTTCTGACGGAAATATTCATCAGAAAATTCCGTAAAAAATTTCCTACGGATCCATATCCGTCGGAAATTTACATTTTTCTTGTAGTGAGAGTGTTCTATGGGTTTCTATGGAAAACCCTACGAGAACATGCAAATTTTGAATGTTTTTTGTTTTGACTTCTGAATTTTCTATTGTGTTCCCTGATGATTATTGGGCATGAATGTATATTTAATTTTGATTTTGAATATGTTTTAATAGGAATTAGAGTGCTCTAGGGGTTCCTACGAGAAACCCTATGAGAAATAGACAAAATATGAATGTTTTATGTTTTGATGTTTGAGTTTTCTGTTATGTTCCTTGATGTTTGCTGAGTGTGAATATATGTTTAATTTCAAAACAGATAAATGTTTTCTGTTTTGACTTCTGAGTTTTCTGTTGTGTTCCTTGATGATTATTGGGCATGAATGTATATTTAATTTTGATTTTGAATATGTTTTGATAGGAATTAGAGTGCTCTAGGGGTTCCTACGAGAAACCCTATGAGAAATAGACAAAATATGAATATTTTATATTTTGATGTTTGAGTTTTCTGTTATGTTCCTTGATGTTTGCTGAGTGTGAATATGTGTTTAATTTCAAAACAGATAAGTTTTAAGCCATGTTTGAAAGTGTTAATGGTGTGAGAACTGTCTTATTATTGTGTTAATGCAAGTGATGTGTTTCCTATGAGCATGATGAGGATAGGAATCTCTTATATGTGGCCTTGTGACTATGAGTATGAGAAATGTGAACAAGTAACATGAGATCTGATATGATATGATAAGTAAAGTGATGAGTCCATGAAGTGTGAATATGTGTGACATGCATCATGTGCATCTATGTGACGGGTACAATATGGAGTACACCGTTAGGGAAGCCCTCCTTGTGTAACAGCTTGGGGGAGTCCTAGGGGATAGTACGGTTTGGATGTCTCGATTCTGCCCGTTTGTGAGCACGAGACGTAACTTGCGCAGCTTCGCTATCCTGACCAGATCCTAGTAATACATCCTTCTAGTTAAGAGTGTATGGGTAGCTCCCTACATGTACTCCTAGACTACCTTAGGTGTGTTGTTTAGGCAGCACAACAGTGATATGTGATATATGACTAGCGCCGCATGCATGCATTTGTAAGTTGAGTCCATGACATCATTGCATAATGAGTGACTGTGTTTGTGCTACTAATGTATGTATGACTTGAGTTATGCTTGATTAATATGTGCTTTGTGTTGTGTTTTGTTATGATTTGTGTGTGTGTTTCCTGGTCGTTATTTTTATACCTTAACTTGAGTGAGATGTTTCTCACTCTACTGTTTCTCTTTATATGTGTTTAAATTGTGTTGTAGGTGATCATCAACATGAGGATGTTGGTGATGAGGCTTAGGCTTCAATTGAGCGTGTTTTGATAAGATATGTGACATCAGGGCATAGTTAGGCTTAGTTTAGGATTTCATTATTGTTATTTTGTTTTGGAAAAACTCATGTTCCATTTTCATGTAAATTTTGCATTTGACCATGATTTATGTTTACGAATGTGAATTCTTTACTCTTATGTTAGTGGAACCATGGTTTTAATTCAAAAGATTTATTTACTCCAAGAATATGTTTTTCATAATTATTGTATATGTATATTGGGGTAGAGGGTGTCACAATATCAATATGGAGACATGTGTGTTTGAATCTCAGTATCCAACAATGATATCAAAGCCAATGCTTCAACTAGGAGACCAACTCAAATGAGCATTTTGCAATGTGAGATAGTGGATTCAAGTATGAGATCATTTGTGTCAAAAGTCTTATTAATGGTGTGCAGGTTAGGTGATGTGTCTCGTTGATGGTGATCTAATTACAATGCAAGTATCTAAAACTTATTGCCATGCGATGACTAAGCTTTAAGGGAAACTAATGGATACTTATGAATGGAAAAATGAATTTTACTAAATGAGAGGCATGTCCTTGTTTGAAGGGAAGATTAGTGGGATATAAATAAAGTCTCACGTTGTTAGAATAAGAGGAAAGGGTTTATACAGCAAACATAGTCTCCATTAGTGTGAGACTTTTAGGTGATGATCAAAAGCAAATCTATGAGGATTTTTTATGAAACTAGTTGAGAAGTGGAATCAGTTTCCTTTCAACAAACTCCATTAATGTTGCAATCTCCATCCATGATCTCTCCAAGCTTAAAAGACAAATAAAAAATGGTGAAAGATGAAGGAGAATGGTGCACCACTTCCTAGGAAGATAAGCAAGAGATGAAGAACTTGTCACAAGGAGGAATTCTTTGATAAAAGTTCATAAGAAGAAATTTCTCCAATGATAGACATTATACTTTTGAAGAGAGAATTTTGAACATTTCTGCAACGACCCGTCACAGTCTCTACACTTAGTGGAATCGCAATACAAATAGTTAACTAAGAGAATATTAAACTGGATAACACATACATACAGGCATAAATATAAAGATCAAAATAATTAAGTTTCTGTATATACAATATAACACCATATATGTACAGTCATCCCAAAATATTCCTTAGTACCGGTCAAGCACTAACAAAAAAAGAAATTGTTACCCAGAATGGTAACTCAAAACACGAGACTCAGCTCCTCGTCTCGCAACGATCACCTCTACTCCAAGCTATTCCTGACCTGCTCCCATACCAAGTATGATCATCGCAGTTCCACCACATGGAAACAAAAGGGTAAGCTAGAACTCAAAAAAAATCAAGATTACAAGTACAGAATAAAAATCTATACTACACATACATCCCAAATCCTGTCCCTAAGGAACCTTTCATCTCAATCAATCATTCATTCATCAAACATGAAGTCAAACACCACACTTCATCATATTACTAATCATGCAATAAATGCATCTCAATCATCTAATGCGTCGTCACGCATACACCTAGGAGATCTCCATAACAACAGAGCTGTATAAGTGACATTCCATCCTACCGAAACCATCCCAACCGTTTTCACGCCCGATGCGCCCGCTCGGTCACAGCTAAACAGGATATAATCCTCACTCGGGTTTACTCGGATGATGTCACTTACACACTTGGAAGTCCAGATCCACCGTCAGGTATAGCACAGCTGGGTACGGGCTTACCACGACCTTGGCATGCATTAACCAAGTCAATTGTGGAGTTCGCCCACCGACTATCCGCAAGGATCCACGCACCTTCCCGAGTACTTGGTTAAGGGAATAACCCTCGACCTCATACCCCGCTCCAACACTAGCTAAGGACTTAGAGGAGACTCACCCAACCCAGTGGCCTATCTGAGCACCACTCTCCCAAATCCAGTGGCCTCCCAGAGCACCACTCTCATATATCAGTGGCCTATCCAAGCACCACTCTCAAGAGACTCTATGTGAGCTCTTCCAGTTCGAAAATATTTTTCCTCTCCTCAAGTCCTAGGCTAGACTCATGCCATAGGCATCACATGCAATCATGCATCATACATCATAATGGTCTGCCCACCATCATGATCAACAATCATACACATGTCATAAGACATCACTTGTAATAATGCATCATACATCATAAATGGTCTACCTACCATTATGATCAATAAACATACTCATATTCAAACATTCATACGTATCATCATAAGCATACATACGAATCACACCTCACCATACATCATATATCATACATATATGATCTACTATTTCAACGTTAAACATGCATAAGCATCAATTTAAAACAATTATTTATAAATATAATTACGCTTGGCACAGTCAGCTCACGCCTAGCCTAACACCTACCCAAGAGCTCTAAGCTCTTCCACACCTGGCATACTCAACCTGCGCCCGGCTTAATCTCATTAAGTTTGTAAACTCACATACATCCTAAATAACAACATTCTAGCTTCCCTTACCTAAAGATTGGCTCAGATAGCCAAAGACTGAACAAAAGTAAAATTTCCCCTCGAGGCTTAACTCGGAACTTCAGTCCTCCCAAAACAAGCTTTCTAATCTGAATTTCAAGAAAAGACAGAAGGAGTTATTGATCTAGAGGAGAAAAGGAGTTAAACAGAGAAATTTGGGAGAGAAAGGAGCTCACTGACCCAGAGACCTTCTCTCTAAAACTTCTCTCTAGAATCAGAACTCCTCACGGCCCCCCTCACCCTTATTTATAGGCAATCCGGTGTGGACAGAACGGCCTGTTCCGATACCGTAATAGCCCGTGCTGAACCCCCAAAACAAGCTAAAAATACACGCCCAGAACGGCCTATTCTGAAATCAGAACGGCCCGTTCCGGGACTCATCCGGAACGGCCCGTTCTCCATTTGGAACGGCCCGTTCTCCCTCTGGAACGACCCGTTCTCCCTCTGGAACGGCCCGTTCTCCCTCTGGAACGGCCCGTTCTCCCTCTGGAACGGCCCGTTCTCCCTCTGGAACGGCCCGTTCTTAACTATAATATATAGTACAATTCAGTAGTTTGGAACGTCCCGTTCCAGTTTGGGAACGGCCCGTTCTGGACTACTGAATCAACCCTTTTTTTTTTTTTTAAAAAAAACAATGTTACAATACTCCCCAACAAATAGGAATTTTCGTCCCCAAAAATAGGCTTACCTGAAAAGAGGAATGGATACTGTTCCTTGAGCTGACTCTTGTCGCCACCGGCCCGAAACGGGCTTTCGGCATT